TCCACAGGGTTTCTGGGAACTGGTTTAAACCAGGAAACCGTCCAGCATCTACGTACCTTTCAAGTGGTGAAGCTGTTTTTTATATTGGTTTTCATACAGATTAACAAACTACAACATGGTGTTAGTGTTCAATTAGTGGCTAGCTCTTTTCAGTCTTTATGCTAAGCTAAGCTAAACATTTCATGGCTGTAGCTTCATAAGCCCTTTACAGAAACAGTGACAGCATTGTGTCATCTGGACATAGACACCTTTTACCTTTATGTTCTTCTTTCTTCATTCAGATGAACCCACAGCTGCGGTGGAGAGATCCTCGGTATGCCGGCAAAATTCCTCTTTCACACGAGACTGGACGGCGCATCACGTCACATAATCCATAAATAAGAGACTAAATCTAAATTCACAGTTTAACTGCAGCTTGTAAACTGTGACTCTGTGTGACTACTCAGCTGTTAAATCCTGATGGTTCCTGTCTCCATTTCGGTGGTTAATAATAATATTACCTCTGTTGTATCCATGTGGATAAATGTGCACAGCTCGTACTCTCTGGAGACTCTCATGCAGGTCCTGCTTCCGTCTGATGCTGCAGGTTTTTGATAAAATCAGAGAAAAACTCCTACAAACAGCTGGAAGCGACAAATTGAACGTTTGCTCTTGTTTACATTTTGTCAAATCCTTGATTGCGTTGGGTTTTGGTGAGTCTCATTAATCTAAAGATGCTCTGTCTTTATTGCAGTAACGTATGATTTTTATGGACATTTCAGTTTGTAACTGATGTAAAATCGTAGCACAAAGTGAATGGGAAAGGTGTGGCTGAAACACTGTTTTTATTGCGATCTTGGATGGTTTTGTACCAATATTGGTGCTAAAATGTGGAAAAAGTCTCCAAATGACTCCACGCAATTTGAATTTCAAAGACATCGATTGTGCAGTTAAGACGTGTGTTGAAATGTGAAAAACGTACGACTGCCGTTTCAACTTTTTTTGGAAACGTGAGCAGGATTCTCATTTAGGAATCACCCAAAACAATCAGTAGCCGTCAGATCAACCAAACGGATTCTGTGTCTGAAAGAGGCAACGTTTAGCTTACGGACCGAGCAATGCTAGCCGTTTCCTTGTGTTTCCACTCTTTGTGCTAAGCTAGGCTAACTTGAGTGACACTCTTGGGGAGAAAAGGTGTGAAACCGTTCCTGTAAAGGTAAAGCGAGCCGTTCTGATTTAACATGTTCTGTCAGATTCCATGAATATTGAGCTGTACTGTGTTCCAGCTCTGCCTCTGTGAATAGGGACCGATTCACACAACAACCGCAGCTTTATGTAACCTCCGATCAGGCTGATGCGCTTTAATTTTTATGTACATCTTAATTCACAAACCTGAACTTTCCTCCCCTAAAGCAGCTTTTATTTCCACTCTGTTTACTCCCTCCTGAAACGCACACAAGTGGATCATCCCTGCTGTGTGAATGGGATTGAGGCTGAAAGTGCTTGGTAGGGGAAAGCAGTAATGCAACAGCTTAATCAGGCTGAGGGGAACAAACGCACACACACACACACAAACACACACCGACCGGCCGACTAGTCATCTCAAGACTCGTTGTCTGCATCCTGTTTTCTCTCTGCAGGCCTCCACCCACATATGCTCACGAGCCCCGTTTGCATCGACGCGGAGACGCTTAAAGTTCTGTTGAAACGGGGCCGGTCCGCTCGTAATGTGTCCTACAAGATGAATAAATACGCTGATAGATTAAACAGAGAAAAAGCGCAGCCGGGCAGATTATTTGCACGTTTACGGAGGAGCGGCAGAGATTGTGTTACTTTAGGGTGCAAGTGGGAGGATGTCGTCATTTTTTTTTTTTTTTAAAGGTCGTATGAAGAGTTTCAGACGAGTGAAGCAAGAAGTGAGAGAAAAAGAAATGCTGAGATTGTGTTTGTACAAATAAATGACACTGAAGTCGAGGTTTAGTGTAAAGAAATCCCATAAAAGGTGCTGGTAGTGGAGTAAGGCGAATGTATTTGATCCATTGGTACCATCCATCCATCCATCCATCATCTCTACACCTTGGTCCTCACTCGGGTCATGGGGGGCTGGAGTCTATCCCAGCTGACTCAGGGTGAAGGCAGGTTCACCTGGACAGGTCACCAGTCTATCACAGGGCTACACTTAGAGACAGACAACCAAGCACACTCGCATTCACACCTACGGACAATTTACAATCACCAATTAACCTCAGCATGTTTCTGGACTGTGGGGGGAAGCCGGAGAACCCGGAGAGAACCCACGCTGCACGGGGAGAACATGGAGACTCCACGCAGAAAGATCCCGACGCGAACCGGCGACCTTCTAGCTGCAAGGCTCCATTGGCAATAAATCAGTTTAATTTTAACTTATTCATATTAAATAACGGACTTTCGTTGACGTGAGGTATCCCTGACAGCTTTTAAAAAACTCTGATCTGGTTCCTCCGGCAGAAATATTTGCCCCCCAGACAAAAGCTGACGTTTCACACACATGGAAACTTGTAGAACATTCATGTAAATCCTCGTTAGCGTGATTGTTTAACAGGTAATAGCGCCAAAGACACATTTACTGCCCTCTGATAAAAGACTAGAACCAGCTGGATGACTCCCTTTTTAAATAATTTAAAGGAAATAAATGGTAGTAAAAACTGAAAATGCTCCAAGTCGTTGCCACACCTGGAAAATGTCGGCCCCTCCATAAACCTGGTCAAAACTGGCCTCTGACTGAAGGTAGTGAACTAAACTAGCGCCACGCTTAGCCTTGAAAAAGGACACGCCGCGTTTCTAAATATGCATTAATCACAAAGTGTCAACACGGCAGCGGAGGCAAGCTGCAGATGATGGCGTGACAGCGTGATAATGTGCTAAAATTATCGAGAAAGCACACAAGAATAACTGGGTTTTCAAACAGCGCGGCCGCGGCGCAGCGTCTGCGTGCTCAAGCTGAACAAACGTGATCGCAGCCGAAACAAGAAATGCCTGTTTGGATTGATCCGTCCTGCAGGCTTCAGTGGAGGTGAATGGAGGCCAGTGTTCATACGGCTATAGTGGAGAGCCGCCGCATCTTTAGGTACACGGGTGTGTTCAGACATGCTCACAATGCAAATGCTTACATGCAAAGGTTCAGCAGGTGCATTTTTTTTTCTCCATAATATTCAGTGGAGTTCAGTGAGTCAATGTTTGAGGAGCCTGAAATGCAAAATGCAGCTCATGCTGGTGGGATTGTCAGGATTTTTGCAGGTGTTTGGCCACAAACTTAAGTGTTAAGTGGGCGGCTGTGGCTCAGGTGATAGAGCAGGTTGTCCTCTGATTATAAGGTTGGCGGTTCGATCCTCCACAGTCCAAGTGGGCAAGACACTGAACCCAAAGTTGCTCCCGATGGCAGGCAGCACCTTGCATGGCAGCTCTGTCGCCATTGGTGTAGGAATATGGGTGAATGAGGAAACACTGTAAAGCGCTCTGAGTGCCGCTAAGGTAGAAAAGCGCTTTATAAGTCCATGTTAACAAATGTTAGAGGACGATTCATCCTGCATGTCTCTGCAGAGTTTCTGTAGTTGTTGAGATATTTCAGTCTGCACCGTTAGCATGACTAAAACTACTAAAGCTACTAAAAACCTGACGTCTATAAAGTCTAACATCGCTCCAAAAGAACTGACACATAAAGTCCCGCCGTGCATGATTCGGTTGTTTGGTCTGTTACGCATCAAACCCTGGAAGTCGATCATCGATACGCTGCAGTTTTAAGGTGAAACTCCCCGGCAGTGGCATCGACTTGGTTCTGCTCATGATCTGTCTTCTAGCATATAAAAAACACCATATGGACACGTTAACAAGTCAAAAAACCTTGCCTTTCTCCTGAGGATGTCATTAAAGCTACTAAAACATTACAGAAACTTTTTAAAAATGGGTAAACCAACATGTTCGTGACCCCCTTTTGAGGATCTGCACCTTCAATTGGAACAAACGGGTTTGGCACGATGCGGTGGAGACACGGCAGGGAGGCGTATCCGAGCGCTAATATACGGTTCATTTTGATCTTTTTATGGGATTTACTCACAGTCACATAAATACTCACATTTATCGCCTCCTCCTTTAAAACACACGAGACGTTGACAGTCGACAGCAGAGACCGGTTTAAATTTGTTCGTTTATTTGGAACCCTCCTCCAAATCACGTCTGTAATTTTTCCATTTCACAAAATATTTACAAAAAAGATACTTTTATGTTTTGTTTTTGTTTGTTTTCTCTTTACGTTGGCTGTTGTAACAGCTCCTTTTTAGGATGATGAACCGTCGCTTACATCTCGCAGTCCAGTCTTGTTCTTTTTTAGAAAAAGTTCATGAAAAAAGTTCCTCCTACCCTTCGCTTCTGTCACACACTCATTTTAAAACGGCGTAGTTTCTTTTCCCCCATTGTTCTTCTTTTGAGTGCTTTAAAAAAAAAAAAAAAACTCTTCCTTGCATGCTTTCAGCTGCAAACAGGAAGCCAAGAGCTTGTGTGCTTATTGAGAGAAGTGACATCTTTGCCCTGCAGGAAGTACAATAACAGTATCATCAGATCATCCAGATGCTCCGTCGGTTTGGTCTGTCCAGTCTTGTCTCTCTCTCTCTCTACAACCCGAGAGTCTTTTCTAGACAAGCGTGAAGCCTACAGGCGTACCAAACAACACAATGTCAGTAATCACTAAACGGAAACAGTCTTTTGTAAGATTTTTTTCTGTCCTTCTGTGGCAGCAGGAACGAGTGCTAGGAATACAGGCCCAGTTCTCAAAAACACAGAGGACCGGGTTGGGGGGTCGTCAGCCGGGCCTTGAGACGCGGCTCTATCGTCCCCCTCTGCGGGTCAGCATCTGTAGTCCAGGCATAGCAAGGCGTCCACAAGTGCATTGTGGGTGTTCCATGGAAGAGCGTTTTTTTTGTGTTCAAGCTGTACGATCCATCCCTGAACTCAGCAAAGAAAGGAAGAAGTGCTATGATGATAAACAACCGAAGAGACACGAGGGGACCGGGGTCCCGCTCCAAAGGATCTATCAAACAAAGTCAGCTATGCGGAGAAAAACGTGATGCTAATAACATAAGGCATTTGACCTCAGTACAACTGGAGAGGTGATTATATCAGAGAAACATGAGCTGAAGCTGGAAAGCTCAACACTGCAAGGTATTTCCCTTTAGCCTCGGTGAGAAGCCTCCAAGAAGCAGGAGAAGATTTCCTAATAAAAGTTCATTTCCTATCAATCCGTCTCCTACTCTATGTTATATAAAAAAAGATGCATCTCACCCTCTCTCCTCTTCAGGCCTCTCCTTCTCATCTCCCGTCGGTGTGTAAAATGCTGAGCTGAGTTGTGCCAGAGTGAGCGGTTGGCTGTTTTATGCATTTTACGTATAATACACTACATGAAACACTGACCGAAAATAAACGAAAGGAAGAAAAAAATTAAAAACACAAAGAGATCAACCCTGCCCCCGAATGTGTGTACATGTTCTAGATCTGTGTGTGTGTGATATAAACATTTATTTTAACGTGTGTATAGCGTAACTGCATTGCGTATTTTCCGGTTAATAAGTCGGTAAAGGTGTGCTAGTTTGGTGCCTGTCTCTATATCCAAGTGTGTGTGTGTGTGTGTGTGTGTGTGTGTGTGTGTGTGTGTGTGTGTGTGTCTGCTCTGTTAACTGGTGACGTAGTGCTTTGTCGATGGCTGCCCATACAGCCCGTAGAAATCTGCATGTCTGTGCGTCTGTGAGGCGTCTATCCAGTCCCTCACCGCCAGGCCCTGCATGGACGGACCTCCAGAGGCCAGGCCGGGAGGAGGGGGGTAGTCCTGGGCGCTGACCCAGGGGAAGGAGCCCGAGCGCGGGTACGGGGGATGGCTGCGGTGGCCCGACACAGAGGGCACTCCGGAGCAGTAGCAGTTATCCATCGTACACACCAGGATCTTGCGGCCGCCGTACTGAGGCAGCACGGCCTGCTGGGAGGAGTGCGAGGAGCTGCTGCCTCCGGGGGGAAAGTGTGAGGAGCTGAACACGGAGCCCGAGTGGTGGTTGGTCAACGAGCCGCTGCCGCTTCCCGTCCCGCCGCTCTCGCTGATGTGCGGCGGGCCGCAGGGGCCGAGAGGCTGCTGATTGGTGGACTGGCCTTCTCCGGAGGCAGAGCCGGAGCCCAGGTAGGGCTGCTTGGCTAACGACGAGGAAGAAGACGAGGAAGAGGAGGACGAGTCTTTGAAACCCGGAGCGGCGTTTTTTCCAGCGCTCCCGTTTCCCTCGGGGAAGGCAGTGGAATGTTTCCGTTTCTCTGCTCCAGAGGCGGAGCTCTGACCGCTGGGATACGCAGGAACAGACTGCAGGAAGGTCGAGGGAGGGGTGAGGGGAGCTGGGGGGAGGACGGGTGTGAAAACAGAGGAGATAAGTGGTAATTAAAACAAAAACACGTTCACGACAGCATCAAAAACCTCACGGGTGCGTTTCAGCGCCTACCTTCAAGTGTTCTTTTCAAGCTCTTCTCTCTTTTTGAGATCTCAGAAAGGAAAAGCTTGGAGTTTAGATTACCGACTTTGTACGGAGGGAGACTGCTGCCCACACATGCCTGAGACCTGCAACAAGTGCCAAGAGTCATGCAAAATTCAAGATAAGACGTCTGCTTGGAAACAGAGTTTTACGGACCAAGGGGCAGAAACAGTCCGTTTTAAAGATCAACACACAACAACTGACCCATGAGCTCCAGTGGAAACAAACTGGACTTCTCTCTTAGGTTCTGGAAGACATCTCACACCTCTAATCCAAAAAGACTTCTAGATGAGAGCATGTTCAGGAACCCGGAAGAGAAGTCCAGTTGCCTCCTACTGAAGCTCCTCTCTAGGATTAGACGACGGAGAAGCTTCACCAGCATCCAGCTGTTCTCTCACCTGTCTGTGAGGATTTTCACAGGCTTGGTGTTTTTCATGAAGCTCAGCTCCTCCGCCTTACTGAAGGCCGTGTGGATGGAGCTCAGCAGCTTCTGGGCCTCGTGGCGCTGCTCTCCCAGCGCCAAAACCTGGGCCGCGTTCTCCTGGCAGAACCGAGCCTGAGCCCGATCCAGAGCCTCCAGTGTCCGACCGAGATCCTCCTCCAGGAGCTGGTGCATCCGCTGGTACTGCAGGCGCACCTCCTCCTTCAGCTCACACACCCTGTCCTGTGGAGAAACAAACACACACAAAACATCAGTCCGCGCCTCCATTACGCAACACATTGTGGAAAATGTGCGCAGCTGCCCACAGAGCAAGGTGCACAACACGTACCTCCACCACACACTTGTCCGAGTCCAGTTTGCAGAGCTGCTCCTCGATCTCCTGCACCCGCTCCTCCACGCGCTCCTGCTGCCTCAACAGGTTTTGCTGTGAGGTGAAGAAAGAACAGTCTTTAGAAAGTTGTGACCTCGGCTTGCCACCAGCATCCCCTCCCCATGCCGGAGATATTAGAATCCGGGAGCCGGCTAATTTAGTCTCCATCCAACACACAATCCCTGCGGGGGAGGAGGGAGGGGGATGCTGTCATAGCAACCAACAGCTATTTTGTGTTTGCATTAGTGAGCGAGGACTAATGTTGGGGGAGCCGGGGGCAGCGAGCACAGATAGATAAATGGGCATACGGAGGCAGAAAAAGCGCCGCTCTCCCCTCGATGCACCTCCTGTATTTTCTTTCTAAAGGACGTGTATTCACACAGCAGAGGCTGCTCTGAGAGCTGCAGCAGTGTTGTGGCAACAACACTTGTTATTTCTGGGATGATGATAGCATGTGAACGACGGCAGACGAATGCTCGGGCCAAGCTGAGATGTTCATCTGGCTCAGCTCGCGGTCAAAACAAAGAAGGAAAAAAAAAATAAAAAGAAAGCCCAACAAACGGCTCCGTACGAGAGCCACAATCCTTTACGTCGCTCCCTCGGAATGTCGTTGACACAGATTCGCTAATCCTTGGCGTTATTAATATTTAATGTGAAATATGAACAATCGTCGCTCAACATTTAATGACGGAGAGGCATACTGATGAGACGGCGCGGCGCTAAATCATGTGGTAACGTCATTATGAGCCGCGCTAGCAGCTCTGTGAGGCTCTCGATGAGGCCCCCCAGCTAGAGGAGGTTCTAGCCAGCGTCAAAGAAAAATTCAAAATAAAAATAACAATTAAAATCCTCTCTGAATTTGTTTATTAGCTTTTGTCAAACTACTGTTAAGCAGAATATAAACTTCTTCCAGCCTCCTCATCCACAGCTGCTACATCACACATGAGGTTGGTGCTGGACTAGCGTTGGGCTCTGATATGAAGCAACTGCTAACGGGGCCTCAGGTTTACTGTCCAAAGGCAGGCTGCACCTCTCTGATGTTTAATCTGGAGCCCAACCGATGCATCAGTTGGCCAGTGTTGACTCATTACAGAAACGGTATCAGAATCTATGCTGCCTGACGTGCGCCGCTGTGCAAAGTTTCTTTTACACAACATAACAAAAAAATATGCGAAGAGTAGCTTAGAAACAGTCACAACAGAGTCTGACTCCACTGGTTCTGATGTTCTCACTGTCTGCAGCACATGTAGCAGAGTACGCATCACAGCCGAGCAGATGGTTGTGCGGAGTCAAGCGGTGACTTCACGGTGAGCTGCTAACTAGTTTGCTAATGGTAGCTAGATAGATAGAACTTTATTGATCCCTTTGGTAGAACCTCAGGGAAATTGTTGATGTACATAAGAGCTGCAACCAAGAGTTAATTAATTGATTAGTTGTCAACTATTAAATGGATCAGCAACTATTTTGATATTGATAAAAGGATTCGGGTAATTATTTAAGAAAAATAAAGGTTAAATTCTTTGGTTCCAGCTGATTAAATGTTTTCTACAGACAGTAAACTAAAAACTTGGGTCGTGGACAAAACAAGACATTTGAAGACGCCATCTTGGCCTTTGGAAAACACGGATTGACATTTTTTCACAGTTTCCCGAGAGACCAAACAACTGATTGATTAATGGAGGAAATAACTGACAATGAAAATAATCATTATCTGCATAATATAATAAACAAAGAGTATCAGCCAATAAATCGTTATTTGAATTTTTGACCCAGTAAATAGTTTGGGTTGAAGTTTTAACAGGAGGAGGATTTAATTTAACTTTTACCAGCCAGAGGCAGGAAGTCCAGCTTATGATGTATTTAGCCACGTTAGCTACCTTCTCCGCTGGCGTCTCCACATCGCTAAAGGAACAGTAGGTAACAGTAAGTCTGCACCTTTAATGTTGGTTTATAGTTCGTTATCAAAACCTTTGTTAGCTGGGAAAAACCCTGACATGCTAATGTGCTCACAGTGGCAACGCTAACATTGTTGTGCTAAGCAGTTTTTATGGTGCTGACCTTGTAGAGTAGCCTGTTGGCATGCTATCATTTGCTAATTAGCACTAAAAGCTAGCATCAAAAGCTTAATGAAGCTAAGCATAAATGTCAACAGTAGACAGACATTCATAACCAACACTTAAAATTTTTTCAATTAATTCAATGATCTATAAAATATTTATAAAAACCTGATTTAAAACAAAAAGAACCAAACAACAGGACGAATCCAACAACTTTCCGATTTATTATCAAGTAAAAATGAGCAAATCCTCACATTTAAGAAGCAGTAAATCTTATACTGATTGTAAATTAAATGCTAAAAACAACTATAAATATATTAGCAAGACTGATTGTATTACATGGACTAAACTATTAATCAATGATGACAGCTCAGAGTTGGAGTTCTGACCCGATTGTGGCTCTGCATGAAAAATTAGGGGTTTGCCAAGTTGTTCAAGTTCACCCTGAATATGTGTTTCGAATTGTATGATGTTAACATCGAATAGTTTCCAAGATATTTCAGTCAAAAAACAAAAATACAATCCTCACGTTAGCGCTATGAGGTTTGCATTTTGGTACGAGTTGGCATTAAAGTCATTAGGAGCTAAACAGCAAACTATCCAACGCTTGTTAAGGCATCTGATTTAGGCCCAAAGACCGAATCTGTCATTAATCTGATGAGTCAATTATCAGTTTGTTCACATCCCACCACCACCATCATCACCATCTCGCTATTCCAACCAACAGCAGCTGACTTTATCATTAGTGATCAGCTGCTGTGGAGCCTGATAGGAATGAAAACCTGCATACTCCTGGGCCTCAGCGGCACATGGTTGGGAATCATTGCCCTAGATATCTCTCTCTCACACACACACACACACACACACACACACACTCACACACACACACTGCTGGCATGGTTAGATCCAGGACGGTGACCTGGTTGTGCTGACTGATTGAGTTAGGCTTCGAGCAGAAGCCGGAGGGGGGGAACAGGGTCGAAGGAGCCGAAGCTTCACAGAGGGGGGGGAGCGGCTAAATGCATGGGATACCTTTGGGGGAGGGAGGGAGGGAGTATAAAGAGGGGAGGGTGCTCTTTAGCTGTCATTTCACCACAGTGTCTTTTCCATCAGAGCCACCAGAGCAGGAGAGCAGCGGGGCCAGAGGGAAGGTCGGTGCTCGCCGGGGGTGGCTGGTGGATGGTGTGAGGGAGGTGGATGTGGTTGGGGGCTGGTGGAGGTGAAGAGTGAGGTGGGGGGTGTAAGTGGAGGGAAATGGAAGAGGAGGGGGGGGTCCAGTCTGCATGCTATAATCACCCTCAACATGGAGGATGTGTTGGTGAAAACGTTCAGGGATTAGAGCCGACGATTCGCTCACATTCATGTCAGTAGGTTGCTTTTCTTTTATTTGCAGTTCCACCTTAAAAACTGTTGAGCAGAGGTGGTGAGCGGCCTTGTGATCAATTTATTTAGTAGAACTCAGGTCTCTGCTCTTCACTATGTAAATTCTATTTATTTTTAATCACATCAGTGCAGGTTGTAGCTCCGCTGATTGGATTTTGAGGCCAAATAACACAAATCAGGCCGTTTCGATGCACATAAAAACCCCGTTTCTAATGGATTTCAAATCTGTTTTTGCATTTTTCTGCATCAGCGTCTTGTGACGTATCAGCCGACGTAGACCTCAGTGTAATAAATCTGCAATTAGAGCTGCGGTGATTTATTGATTTGAAGGTAAACTGAAACTCTTTGGGTTGTGGACAGAACGATGCATTCGAGGACGTCATTCTGGACTTTGGGAGCCATTTTTTAATGAAACAATTAATCGAGAAAATAATCAGCTGTTGCCGAGACGATGACTTGATCTGAAATCTGACTCCAGTTCAGGCGAAGGTGACGAACTTCTGCTGCAAAAACACAACATGGCCGACGTTTACGACGTCATATAAAATGATAAAACTCGCATTAAATGCAACAAACTGTGTCGGAGCTAAAAAGAATCATCAATCGTGATTTGTTTAACAGCATCACCCCGGGCTACGTTGCTTTTATTTATTCTTATTTACTTGATAATTAATTGATGAGTTGAGAATAGAATCATCAGATCTACTGAAAATTTAATTCATCATTAGTTTATCGCAGCAATTTTCTAAGAGTCATTAATTCTGGCGGCTGAATTGCAAATATTTTTTGCCCCAATTATCAAGATGCGCATATAGTTTGGTCGATAAACGACAAAAAGTTGCAGTGAGGCGAGAAATGCTGGTAACGTAGGTAAAAGTGAAACCACGACGCGACCAAGAGCTGCTCCTGAATGTTTGGTGTTTCCCCAAAAGAATGAAACCAAAACTGAAATGATTGGATTAAAAATAGCAATTCTTTTTATAAACCAGTTTTGCTAATTGGGGTTTTATTTACTTTACCATAACAGATATTTGTGTTTATAAAATGTTAAATACAGATTTCTGCTTACGGTTGTGCATAACCTCCCAAAAGACCCATTCTACGCCAGAAACACCCTAAAAACCCGACAACAACATGACCTAGAAACACTTGATTACAGATGCAACTATTACTGAAACAATAACGAATCGATTAATGATTAGATTATAACCATGTGCGAGTGACGCTGTTCCTAAATTACGTCAAACTTCTCTTTGGTATTCGTTTATATAGTGTAAAGCCGCAGTGATCAATAAATCAGTGGTTTAATAGTCAAGTGTTAATCAGCAGCTACTTTGATAGTCGAGGAATTGGTTACAGCCATTTAAAGGAAAAATAGGTCAAAATTAATTTGAATATTTTCTCGTTTCTTTCCTCCTCTGTGACGGCAAACTGAATATTTTTGGGTTGTGGACAAAACAAGACGCCATCTTTGGTTTTGGGAATCATCGATTGACATTTTTCGCCATTTTATCGACCAAACGACCACAAATTAATAGAAAAATAATCCCCCATCACCTGAGGACATAACCGCTAGCTTCAGCCCCATTATTGTGTTCCTCATTGTCCAATACATGCATCTGTAATGAGCTGACGTGAGCCGATACCAGCGCTAAAGCTGCTTATAGATTACTCAAAGTGCTGTTACACCGTTTGCCCGCTGGAGTCTCATTTTAAGCTATCTTGGTAACGACGCGTGTGATTCTTATCAAAAACATTGTCCGATGTCTGAAACATTAACAGCGGCGTCAGGAAAAGCTGGAAATGTGAAGGACTTGCGGTAATACGGCTTTTAAATTCAGCCCGTCCCACCCGGTGACCACTCATTCCCCCCAGGTGACTGATTAACTATACATAAAGCTGAGTCATAGCGTTAGCAACAGGAAACACTCTGCCGTGACACGGTTGACACCTAAACGGGGTGTTGGGTGAACTACATGAGTCAGTAGAAGCTCTTGTGGTTCTGCCTCTGACTGTCCGATCACACGCAGCCCTTCGAAAGAAAGGAAAGGGGGGGCGAAGCAGTCCGACCTCGGCTCCAACCAGCAAACCCCCAGGAAGAGAAGAGGTTAATGAAAAACCCAAGTCGACTGCAGAATCAAGTGACGAATCACTTTAATCCCTTTTCCCTTCGACTGCACTCCCACCCCCCCCCTTCACAACTGGCGATCCCTGAGCTCGGATGCACCTGTGCTGGGGAGATAAGGCCCTCTGAGGGCCCCTCATTGTTCCACCCTCGGCTGCATTGTTTGTCATTCCAACAGATGAGAAAGGAGGCTGGAATGGATCACAACTGAAAAAATGCAAGATAGACTCGAAACACTCCAATTGCAGCCGTTCCTTAAAGGGGCAAATTTAGTTTTGTATTGAACGAAGCGATTTTGCAAATGATCGATAGCAGATTGCGGCAGCTTTCTCCCCCAAAAATCTAAAATACAGCGAGAACGCCTCCTTTGTTCCGTTGACGTTTGCTTCACGACGACAAATGGATGAAAAATGAGCTGGCTGGCTCGGCCGATGCTGTTATGAATGCACTTAGCTAACACTTATTGATCACTGATGAACAAATTCTTGCAAGTGGGGCTCCAACTAACGATTGCTTTCTTGATTAATGGTTTGGTCTGTGAAAGGTCAGCAAGTGGTAAAAAAAAAATGTTTGTCAGAGTTTACTGGAACCCAATGTAAGGTCCACAATTCAAAGATGCTCAGAAGAAGCAGAAAATGTTGACATGTGAAAGCTGGAAGCAGTGGATTTTTTTTGCCAATAGTTTTCTTTCAATCAATGAATCGACTAGTGATTCAGCTGTGCTTGCACCCGGCTCTATTTGTGCTTGTCATGATGTGAGAGTGACTCGTGTGTTTGGTTAATGTGTGCATGTTGTATGTAACTCTTCTTACTCTGATGTCGTTGCGTCGCAGCTCCACGTCCGTGACCGCGTGGCCGTGGCTGGGGTGGCAGCGGGCGAAGCAGCAGTACTGGCACACCGCCGTCTGCTCGGCCTCGCAGTGGTACAGCCTGTACTCGTCGTGCTGCGGGCAGGTCCAGGCCTTCACCGCCTCCGCCTCCACCAACAGGTGCCCGAGGGCCGAGCAGGGCTGCTGCAGGTGCGTCTGGACGTGGGACTGGCAGCACGGGGCGTTGCAGCGCAGGCACACCTTCACGGCGGGGAGGGGCGGGCCTCGGCGACACAGGATGCACTGCAGCGCCGGCGTGGTGGCCTTCTCCACGCTCAGGGCGTTGTACTTCTCCACTATGTTGGACAGTTTGTGGTTCTTCTCCAGGCTGGGCTTCTGCGTGTAAGCATGATTGCACTCGGGGCAGCGGGCCAGCGAGGAGTCTTTGGCCCAGGCCTCGCTGATGCAGCCCCGGCAGAAGTTGTGCTTGCAGGGCAGCTGGATGGGATCTGAGAACACGTGCAGGCAGATGGGGCAGATGAGCTCCTCCTCGAAACAGTTCCTCCACGTCTCAGCCATGTCAGAGGCCATCATGGTGGTGCAGGCAGGCATACACTAACTGTTTCCCTGCTTTCTCCCAGACCTCTAGGCCTCTGCGCCGCTCACAGGAAACCCGACGCTATCAAAACGAGTCTTGAGAAAGAGATAAAAACAGAACCGGTGCCGTCCTGACGGATCAGCCGGCGTACCCCTTGTGACCAGACGAGTCTCCCTGACAGATGACGAGTATTGCTTATTACTGCAGCATGAAGGCAAACTCCAGGAGAAAAAAAAAAAAAAAAGACCAGAAGAAGGCTTCAGGCGAGGATGACAACACCTTGGTGATTTCAACACATGCAACAGAGGCTGACGTTATGCAGATTACAGTAAACGGTGCTTTCCTATTCCCCTAAATCACTCTCACAGACTGTGCCGGCCTGCAGTGTGTGTGTTTATAGGCCTGCAGGAAGCAAAAAGCCTGTCCGCTACAGGTAAACCAGCAAACAAGGCACGGAGAATTAAATATCTACACAAGGATCAGGAATCTATCTGTGTTTAGCACATGAAGAAAAAAGAAAAAACCAGACACTTGATCCTCCTGCTGCTGCTGCTGCTCAGGCCCTTTACCTTAAGAGCTGCCTTCACTTGAATTATGATTGACCAATTCAGACCAACAAACCAAGCATGAAAAGCATGAGAAAGGACCGCTGGAGTCCACACCCTGATTACTATTCACACACACACACACAAGAGAGCTTCTTTTAAAGAAAAAAAAAAAAACCTGAATCTGTTTTAGCAGGACCTCAAGGACGCCCCTCAGTAATCACAACGCAGCAACGCTTTTGTCCGCTGAATCATAAATAAGTATCCGAGGAGCCTCCAGCAGCCATTTAATCACACAGAACACCCGGCAGGAGACGTAGAAATGCAGTTTTACAGGTCAGATGAACGACACAGGTACCTCTGGAGCCCTATCCGATGAATAACGCCTGGCTGCTATGTGGCACAGCTCGCATATCTGTACACAAGGCCTCGGCTTCTTCTTCTTCTCCTATTTTTTTTATTTTATTATTTATTTCCCCAACCACTTTTCCATCGACAACAAAGGCCTTATAATCTCATTAAACGGCAAATCATACCGGGGCCCGTCATTTCCGAGGCTGTTTACTGCATAGTTGGTCGTTTTTAATAGTCGAGTCCTGCGCACAAAACAAAGGCTTTTAGGATCCGCAGGAATGTTGGCTGAGCTGCTGCTGCTGCTGCTGCTGCTGCCGCGGAGCCTCGTCCCCCCTCCGACACATCTATCAGATAGCTGCCCGCACAAAGATCAGGGCTGCTCGGCTCTCGTTTCGCTTCGGTCTCCGCCTCGTCGTCGCCTCAGCCTTTAGCCAACAACATATTTATCTACTTCCTTATCTCGGTTAAATCGCGTTGAATTAGCTCAGACGTCACCTCACCATTTTCCACCGGATAAAACAGCTACAGCGGCGCTAATACGAGCCGTGGTCATTCTGTCTCAAAGCAGCCATATTTACCTATTTAAACTGATTTTTTCCCCTATTATTTAAAGAAATAATAATACAAAAATATACCCTCCTGGTCTTAAAGGGGACGTCGAGTTTCTGTCCTTGTTAGCTGTCATCAGCCATCTTGCAAATCCTCATTAAAAAAAAAAAAAAAAAAAAAAGCGAGAGAGAGAGAAGAGAGAAATCCGCCGTGGAGAAGGCTGAAGGCTGTTTCACCAAAGCTGCTTTTCTGAGGCTGACCTACACACACACAGCGAAGCAAAGTCCGTCATTTTAAAAAAGGAAAACACGCCTTTTTTTCTCTCGCTGTTGTAGCTCCGAAAGCAGCGGTCCGGACCGGGCTGCGCTTCGTGGGCCGGTGAGTCCGGTGAGAGTCGGCTCCGTGGTTCATAAAAATCCAACACGGTTGTGAATAATAATTTCTGTTTTCTCCCCCCTTTCTTTCTCTGTCTCTATCGGCCAGGCTTTAGAGAGGAGGAATGCAGGCGAGCTGGACCAAACCACCGTCAAGGGAAGCGGTATGACTGCTCACTTCCGCCTCTGCTTTTCACAATAAACCCGCGTCGGCGCTAAAACGCAGCTAGCTGAGCGGCTAGCCGGCGAGCTAAACAGCTACGGAGCCGAACAGAAAGCTAACAGGCGGCTAATTGGCTGAGCGGCTAGCCAGCGAGCTAAACAGCTATTTAGCCAAACAGAAAGCGACCAGGCGGCTACTTAGCTGAGCGGCTAGCCAGCGACCTAAACAGCTATTTAGCCAAACAGAAAGCTAACAGGCGGCTAATTAGCTGAGCGGCTAACCAGCGAGCTAAACAGCTACTTAGTCAAACAGAAAGCTAACAGCCGGCTAATTACCTGAGCGGCTAGCCAGCGAGCTAAACAGCTATACAGCCAAACAGAATGCGAACAGACGGCTAATTAGCTAACATCGCGCTAGCGAGCAAGCTAAACAGCTACTCAACTAAGCAGCCAGCTAGCAACAGTGACACAAGTACTCAAATCTTTTACTTGAGTCAAAGTAGTACTATAACCGCTCGAATATTTCAATTAAAATACACCTATATGATAATTCTGGTTGTACTTCAGCCTGCTGTATTTCTTAATAATGTGACCATTGCTGTTCTGTGAGTCATGCTAACTGGGCACTAGCCACCTTAGCAGTAGTGTAAATGAAGAACTGAGCTCTCGACAGTTTTCCCAAAACACATGATTTTACATTAATGGCTGTTGGTTTTTAGCACACAATTTAGCATCAAGTGACCTTTTACTAACTGTTTTACGAAATAGGCCCTGATTGTTTTTATCTGTTTATATGCTTTACTGACCCCACAGGGGGACATTTTATTTTTTGCATAGCCTAGCTAGTTTGGAAACTGGGTGAGCCTGTAGCATTCAGGATTAAGCGACCTGCTCAAGGGCCCAACAGCAGTAGCTTTGTTCATGCTGGAGCTTGAATCTGCAACCATCTGATCAGTAGCCCAAGGCCTTAACTGCCTAACCACCACTTACTTTTTATGTCTGTGAGGGTATGCAGGATATAACTTTTGACATCCACCTAAGTCTACGAGGGCTGACTTGCAGCCCAAGAAGCGAGACATCTGCACTAGGAAGCATCCATTCATCTGTTTTCTATACCTCCTTTGTCCTGTGGCTGCAGAAAGCACTGAGCTCTGTGTATGTATGTTCATTCCAATGGTAACATCCGTGATCGCTGGTGTGTTTGCAAGTTTCCGCCTTGTCCAATGTCCAAGTGTTTCTTGGAATCCACTTTAAAAAAATGAACTTGCAGTGGATTATCCAAACTAAATTGTGTAAACCAGGATGTTGGAAAAACAAATTAGCTGTAAGGCAGTTCTGTGGCTTGTCAAACAAATTGTCAGTATGCAAATATTCCATACGACCAGACAGACAAACAGCTGAAATTAGACTCTGACATGGCTGCGGTGAAGTTTACATTCATCTGTAATGAAATAAATTAATTTGGATTCAAGATTAGACAGCAAAGTCTAAATATTGTACAGAATTACAGACATCAAACTATGCTGTAAGCAAGCATTTTACCTGCATGTTATTTTTGAATGAAGTAGGCGGCATGCGTCGATGTATTTTCAGTGGAATAAGAGTCGGATGATATGTTTAAAGCCTCACCTTTATGTGTTCGGAGGCTGATGAAGAAAACCTGACAAACAAAGAAAGGTGATAACCGCTGCCATGATGTATATTATCGCTAATTGGGGTTTAGGTTTTATTGAGCCAGCTGACGCAAAAAAAATCCTTCACTTGCGAGAAACAGTGTTGACACTTAGAAAGCCAAAACAAAGCACTGAAGGAAAAAAAAAAGCTTAATCCTCTTAACTTGTGTAATAATCATCTTTAAATACAGGTACAGAAACCATTTTAATGTGTCCTTTCATGAGATCAAAACTATCGCCAGAGATCGGATTTGCTCTGTTTATTTTGTAGCAAACAGGGGATTCTATCTACCATTAAAACACAATTATCATTACAGATGTAAACATTACGCAGAAGTCTAAAAAAAAAAAAAAAAACACCCAAAAAACTTGCAGCACAAAAATGAGCTTTTATTGTGAAGCCTCCCCCCACAGCCCGCAGCCTGCTTCCGCTTACTTCCGCAGCCTTGACGCAGCTTCTCAGCCTTCCCCCTCCTCCCTCCACCTCCCCTCCATCCCTCCATCCCTCCCTCCCTCCTTCCGGATCAACGCTACGGCCGTCACGTGACCTGTCACACAACTGATGTGTGTCACGTTTTAACGGGAGGAGCTGCGGGACGAACCGGGAGGAAGGGCCGGGAATCAGACTTAAAGGGCTTTACTGCAACTGTTAATGGCCTCATCGGGCTCCTCTGGGGGGCAACGCTGCATGTGTGTGTGCGCATGAGTGTGTGTGTGTGCATGCGTGTGTGTTGCAGGAGAACATCGCTGTAATAATCCTGTAATATTCCCTCAGAGAATAAAGGAACATTCCGTGAACCTCGTGTAGCAGCACTAACTGAAGGAAAAGTTCCTGCATTCAAAATGTCACTGAAGGAAAAATGTTTATGAGCAAAGTGTGCTGACGTAACCAGAAGTAAATGTATTGATCAGGCAGAATTAGAGTGTAAACGGTTATTGATTGATCAATAGGCTGATTGACAGAAAACTGTTCGGCACCTACACTTTAAAAAATGAACATATTTTTAAATTATATATATATATATTTTTTAAACAATTTACTATTGTTTTACAGAATTCCCCTGCTTTGTTAAATTACAGTAAATAATTATAAAGGCAAAAGGGTATTAATTTACCTGGTTATTGTAAAAAAAAACAACAAAAACAGCAAAAACTGGTCGTGGCTGGTAAATGAAATCCAAATAAAAAATCATTTAAAAAAAAAAAGAAAAGGTCAGGAAAATCATGGGGAACAAAAACATGAATAATTTGCAGATATTTGCCAGTATTTTTCAACACTTCTACATCCTGTCAGCTGCCTGGAACTGCCTTGGAAGTTCCTTGAAATTCTGTGATGGTTTTTGGACACATACAGCCACATGAACGGGAAGTACGCCATGTTGAAACAAATCTGAATTCTTCTTTTTACCGCTTCCTACTTCTTAAAAACTCCTAAAAACGAGCAGAAACATCCAGTCTGATCTGCTTCTGAGCTTCTCAAACTCCTTAAATCTAGCTGTTAATTTAGGGAACTCAGCATTGGAAGAAGTATTCACATCTTCTATTAAATGGAAATGTAAATATCTGAGTGTGAAATCACTCCATTACACGTAGAAAGCCTTTTGTCAGGACTTTGCTGCTGTGTTATTGGCAGAATGTACTTAAAATAGAACTAGAAAATAGCAAATATCTGTAAAATAATTATCTTTTGTAAGGTATAATGTAATTTTATGGTCACACGCCCCCAAAGAAAGATTTATTTTGTGTAAAAATACTAATTTTAGCTCCGACATGTACAGTTTTGGCCTATTTTGTCGCAAGTCAACATTTAAATTATTTTTGCTGTGATTTTAACTGACAATATCATCTGTAAGAAAACAATGAAAATCTGTAAAATAACAATTATTTTTTTTAAAAATCTTGAAAATAAGACCTAATATCTGTAAAATAATGTTTTCTTGCTGGTTTTAATATAGTAAAAGTGGTGTAATACAATCATTAAACATAAAAGAACTAATTGCGGTTTGTAAAAATACAGATTTCTGACTTATTTATAATTGTGGCCTGTTCTTCTGTTTTCTGTTGTGACTGTTGACGTGTACATTTCTGTGATTTTACAAGTAATTATCTGTAGCTTTACAGAACAAGGGGCTCAGTAAAATAATAAGTTGTAAAAAATAAATAGTTGTATAGCGTATAGACATGCACAATATATACAGTACATATTAAAGTACTACAACGGGTGTCTATTTTAATCTGTATAAATACATCCTTCCTCATACAACCTCTGTGATTTGTTTCCTTCATCTGTACAGTAGCTGGTCGCTGTGGCTTTAAAACACGTCTGTAACTGAGAGTCATGTCTTTAGTATTGTTCTGAGAATCCTTAACACGCATACAGTGGTGTCTTTAAAGGTGGCGTTGACACTTTGCTGCTAATACTTGTGCATTTAGGACTTTACTCTAAAATAATATCCTTGATTACAAGTAGAAGGAGATAGAT